CGGGGAGTCTGCGTGGAAGAAAGGGGGGAGATGAGGAGCCTCCGGACGGAGAAGCTGCACTCCATGTCTCTCCGTGCTCCCACACTCTCCGCAACGCTTGCTCCAGGTGTCTCCAGCTTCCCCCCAATCGCGTTATCAGCGTGCCCCGGACTCAACCACGAGGGCGGTATCGCGGCGTGATGGCCGCGTGTCCCCGCGTGAGATTCCCTCCTGCCTGTGAAATCGCTGTTTCTGTGTGCACTGCGCCGCCCAGTCTGTCCTTCCGTCGCGATCGAAACTCACTCGTCGAAACGTCCGTTCTGACGCCGCGCCGATGCTCGGACGCAGGTGGTGAGCGGCCGAGGTTGGGGGCGTCGGAGATGAAGCGCAATGCGGAGAAGGTCGAGTGGCCGATGGAACTTGCCACTAGGCGCGTGAGCTGAAAAATGAGGCTATGAGTAATAATGCCGTGCCCATGGGGGCGAGCAATGTCTCCCCTCGGTTGCTGGGACTGTGGGTGAGATGAGGCGAGCGAGGGGGTGGCCTTCGCTCAGCATGGAGAGCGTTGATCCCACACCAGATCGGCTCCAGACTCCACGGCCACACTGAGGGGCCCCCTCGAGAGACAGTCCGCACAGATCTAGATGGATGTCTTGCATCTGGCCTGTGTGCGGCTCAGCGAGCTAGACGTGAGCGCAACAAGTCAGCGTCAAAAAGAGGCCGTGACCGGAGATAGCGGACATAAGATGCAGAGATGGGTGGAGGGAGAGAAATGTCGAAACGGTGCAACCACCAATGCAAAGACACAGGGAAAAGGGCATCAGCTGGGAGAGAGACATGCAGACTCACCGCGCTGCTGGTGGTGTTGCGCTTATCTCACCCTTCTTTGCGTTGCACGGTGACTCCCGATCTGGAGACCACCACATGTGCAGCCAGCCTGGCCGTGTCCAGCATGGTTTGGTTGGGCGTATATCATCTCAGCACATCCTCAGCGGGACAGGTGGCGGGTGCGCGACGACAATCGAGCAGACGGCAACGGAGCGTGTTGTTTCGGTCGGCAAAATGGGCATCGGTCCTTCTCGGCATCGCGGCGGCGGACGGCGGGAGAGAAAGCGTCACAGCGGCAGACACTACAGGCTGGGGTGCGTCTGCCACTGCACGCTGCACGAATGCGGGCACCTTGGACATCGATTCGAGCGTTGTGTGGAGCACCCGGACTGTTCGCACATGTACGACGATCCATGGCACTTTCCTCCCGCACCGGGGAATTTATCGACCGGGGGGTGCGACGATTGCCGAGAGCAGGGAAGGCGACGGGGCGCGCGCGACGGGCGAGCAACGGCGACCTGAGGCAGGCGGAAAGAGCGTGTGCGGGTGCGGCGGTCTTATGGGGGTTCCGGGGTGAAGAATTGGTGGGGTGACGGGGCGGGCGAAAACTGGCTGGCGTGCGGTGCCCCGTGGAGAGGACGGTTTTGCTGGAGTTGTGGGGGCTGGGGTCTGGGGCGGATCTCCCTTTTTAACCCGCTTGGCGACCGACCCTCGCAGCCCTCTACACCGATGGCTGACTCGCCCACAAAAAACTAACAGCGCCACGCCGGGCATGACTTCAGCCTGAAAAAAAGGGTCTGCTGGAGAAAGCCGCCCCAGACCCCAGATCCATCGAACCTAGCCACCAATCGAGGTGAAGTTCCGCCCGTGTGACCTCCAGTCTTCTCCACATCCTCCACAGCAGCCCGCACGACCGCCGCCCACTTGACTCCTGCCCGGTTTCTGCACACCATCTCCTCGCACGCCGTGCGCGATCTACCCGTGCCTGCCAGGACGCTGGTTCCCACGCGGCCGCTTCCGTCCCAACGGTGCCTGCTCGAGTCACTGTCTTCGGCCGCGCCCATCTCCCGCCCAATCCGTACCCACACGCTGCTTGATCCAACGTCACCGTGGAAAATCGATTCCGCCAGGCTCCACACGCTCAACGGCCCCGAATTCCTTCAGTGTCCTCCTCTCAGCTGCTGCTTCCACTGACCCTCTGCACACCCGCACCACTCGACGCCTCTTGCCATTGCTCTTGCTGTTGCTCCGTGCTACCTCGGGTCATACTGCGCCGAAGGCTTGCTCGCCCCCATCCCGACCGGGCGCGCCGACGCACACGCGCCCTCAGCGCCCCTTTACGGTCAATTGCCCTTGACGCCTCCTTCCTCTGCGCCGCATCCTTCCGTGTCTCTGTGAGGAAACACTCCCGGTCTTCTAATTTTCAAGCCCCGAAACTTTGTTTCGACTTCACACTCCAATCCCTTCGTAAGCGGTGTGGAGAGCCAAACCCCCCCGGAGATAAAGGAGCCGCCTCGTGCCCGGACAAGTGCAAGCCACCGACGCACTGTACTTTACGGAAGGCGAACACACACGCACGCGCTCTGCCATAAGACCCAGCTTCGCTTTGAGGAGAGAAGTAGAAGACGTGCATTTGACACCCGAACTAGAGCGGCTGTTTCGCCTGTTATGTCAATATATCTCCCTCATGTCTGACCTCTGCCGGCAAATCAACAACATCTCAGTCTCTTACTTTACCCAACAACGACCCGGGAAGGTGGTCGTGAGCCCACTTTCCGAGCAGCTCTGCGAAGGAGCAGCTGACACATTTCTAAAAAGGAGCAAAGATGATCGATCAGGCGGACGTTTCTTGGCCCTAGGTTCGTCCCTTGGCCAAGAAGATCCGGACGAGAGGAAACTGAAGCATCGGCTCCCCATTCCTCGTCTCCCCGACATACCACAATGTGTTTTTCGAGTGTCACTGATCGACCGGACCTGCCTTGGCCATCGATGGCCTGTATAACAAGTCTTTTCTACCGAGCGGGAGGACCCGCACCGGGCAGACTGTCCCACCCACCATCGTCAGCACCGAGGTAGTGCGGGCGAGCGGAAGCAGCCGACGTAACAGATCGCTGTTTCTTGCTCACGTTGAGGCCGCCCCGGCAGACTTAGTGAGGTGCTGAGGCTCTTGGAGAGGTCACCCCACCGGTAACGGAGAAGGGACAGGGGTATGCCGCAGGTGTGTTATAGCTGAGAGTCCTCTAGGGCTGATGCAACCCTCCCACCCAGGATGCTTAACCTCTTTTCTCTTCCAACCTCACCTCGGGATATTTTTGTGGTGGTTAACAAGCCACTCCCAGCCGCCTAGCACTCGAGGTGGTTCCTAAACGTCTGGACAATGTAGCGGTGAGCTGCAGTCTCGTCAGCAGCAACAAATACACTGCTTCCCCGCAGTCAGTCACAGCCTTGCTGACCGAGCCGCGTCCCCATCCCGAGACATCGCATACGGTGGGACAAGGCAAAGCTGTTGTGCTTCATCACCCACCGCACGCATACGACACACGACAAGCATTGTGCATGCATATGCCAAGCTTCCCTCTTTCCTCCCACTCCCACGAAAGCATAAGCATACTATGATTTGCAGTTCCTTTCCTTTTACCCACCGCTGCGCGTCACCAAGCTGTCGGGGGCCTGGAGCCAAGTGGACTCTTGATTGGTCGGTTGGTCCTGTACTACCTCACGCTCTTTGGTCTCACACAGTACATGTATATGCACATCGTGAAGCAGGTATGAGAGAAAAGGAACCCCATATGACTGGAAGTTGATATTAATTAGACACGACACAAAGCGATGCGGACGATCGATCGAACGAGCGGAACCACGACGAAAAGTAAAAGAGGGGGAGCGGCATGTCTGAAATTGGTACACTCTCAACCTTCGCCACCCTCTCAAGCCTCTTTTGTCCGTTTCTCGCCAAGAAGTCTTCGCATGCTGTCATGTCAAGTCTACACGGAGCCGTGACTCAGAAAAATAAAACAGTCAATGGCGCCATTTCCGAAGCGCGCTTTTCCTTGGAGGAAATTCAAGAGGAAGTAGAATCGGAACGAGTCGAAGGATCCGCACGTAAGCAAAGCCACGCCCACACCTTCGGATCATACGAGGTCAGGATCGGATCGTTCGATGTAGGATGGAGTGTGAACTGCAGATCGCGGGAAGTTGCCGTTGAAGCATTCATCCACCGTGGAACTTCAGATGTAGGAATACGTCGTATCTTGGAAAAAAAAAAGAAAAAGAGCGGACAGAGAGCATCAACCATCCGGTCTAATTATGGAGTGGATTTTGATCCGACGTCATCGCTCCCATTCACCAAACGTACAGAAACAAGAAGTTAAACCGTAACATGTGTTGGTTTAGCCTCCCGCTAAGGTGAGGAAGGAAGCAAGGAACGAGGGAATGAAGGGCTGAAGGGCTGAAGTGCTGTCGTCCCCCACGATCAGCGGTGATTTGCGGGAGCTACTGCAGTCAGGTGGTTAGTGGTGTCGATCGACAGAGAATAGGCGAAAGTGTGGGGTTGCTAGTGGCGAGCTAGTTAACCCACCCAACCCGCATTCCTTCATCCTCGCCGATCGACGCACGTGGGAGCAACGGGTTATTTTTAAGCACAATTGCGCTCTAGCGCCTTTGTTCACCCGCCCGACCTCGTGTAGGATTCAACGCCCTTGTTTGCGACGTCACGCGGCGGAGGCGGCGCCTTGCTTAAGGGGAGAGGGTCTTTATGCATGGCGCATTCGCGGTGTTTGTTGTGAAGGCAAGTTTCTTTGGAGCGTGTCAAATCATCCACTACACCGGGTTTCAAGATAGTAAAGAGTAATCGTAATTTCCCTGCAAATTCGGTAAGCCTACTACTTGGAAATAAAGAAATAAGCTGTTGATGTCTTCTGGGATAAATGAGTGATCGAAGATGCCAACGCTGAAGGAGAAAGAAAAGATCGCAACCGGTCGTAAGAATAGTCATGCTGTGAGGAGAAGGGGAAAACAACTTCAACTCTGGCTAGAGGAGCGAAAATTTTGCACAGGTGTCCCCCAGCTTGCACAGACTACCCTCATTACCCTGAGCCATCTATGCAATTTCCTTGCGATTACTTCTCGCTGCTTTTCCCCCCTCATGTCAACCAATCAAGCACGAGTAGAGGCTGACTGTAGGCTGCATGCCCTTAGTAGCCGCCCTTCGTCTTGGTGGCGCATTCGGACTTGCTCTTGACAACCGAGGTGGTGACTGGCTTGTACGTAGTAACCGGGCACACACTCGGCGTGTATGTAACGGTCGTGCTGACGGTGGGCTTGGTGACGGGGATGAGCTTGGTAGTGGAGCCGACCTTGGTGTCGGTGTCGGTCTTGGTGATGGTGTCAACCTTGCTGGAAGTGTAGACGCTGGTGTAGGTCTTTGTTCAAAGGTTTAGCGACAGACTAGAGGGTTGAGTTGACACCGGACTCAACTTACCGTCGTGTAGACGCTGGTCTTGGTCTCGGGTACGGTGACGGTCTTGGTCACGAGATGCGTGGTGGTGTACGTGTAAGGAACCACCGTGGTGTCGGTGACGACGACGGAGCCAGATTTCTGCATTGTTTTTTTGGTCAATGGCTGGGAATGAGTCGTGGCAATTGGTCTACGTACGGTGATGGTGACAGGAACACTCTTTGTCTGAGTGACAACGTATTCGGTTGAAGTGGTGATGTAGTCAGTCTCGTACTTGGTGGAGCAGGTGGTCTCCGCCGGAGGAGGCGCGTAGCTGGTGCTGGAGCCCTTGCCGCCACCACCGCCACCGGGGAAAGCAGCAACAATGGAGCTGGTAGGTGGTCAGCAGCAAGTAACCTGGAAGGCGAAAGGAGTTCTCTTACCTGGAAGCCAGGAGAGCAAGAACAGCGACCTTCATGGTGGAGAACATTGTGAAGTGATGAGCGAAGTGCAGCGATGGCTCAGAGGGTAGTCGTGGATGGGAGTCTTGCAACGAGGGCTGTCGAGTGAAGGAGAAGCTTGTTGGTGCTGGTGGAGATGTGTTCTCGACGTGGACAGAGCTTTGCTTTATAGACACCACGAGCTGGCCGCAAACCAGGATTGCTGCTTGGACGAGTGGTCTAGCTGATGGTGCTATGGGCTTCCGTGCCGCCGATGAGACATGGCTTGGTTCGTGGTCATTTTCGTCAGAACTGTAATCGGGTCTCCGCACATTCTCGTGGAGGATGTGGGCGGCGCTCATGCATGCAGGGCAGAAACAGCATGTATTGTCGACAAGGCATCAGGAAAGGTGGAGATCCCGGCCTAGAGAGAATAGGCCCCCGGCAGGAAGGGATTTCATAAGAGAAACAGGCCATGGCAGCTCCGAGCTACCCAAAGCGGAAGAATAGGGAGCACTCTGCAGAAGGGGACAGGGAAGCACCATAACGATTTAGCAGAGTGCTCTGGGGTTGACAGGGGTAGATTCCCCGGAATAGCAGCGGGTAGGCTGAAGGGCACGGCCGTGGCTGAACATGCACGTCATAGTAGCTCGGCCGTTGCTCAAGGTAATAGAGCGATGCAGGCAGCGCAGGCATGGTAGACGAACAATGCGGGGCATAGACTGGTGCTGACTTGCACGTTGGCGCATTCGCTCCCGCGATTGGAGTAGTACCGTGGTAATCGTGGTAAGGCTGTAGAGGCAGGATCCCGAGGTGACGGCACACAGCGTCAGGAACCCGTGCTCGTGGGACAGCAGCCAGCGCGCGGTGGTTCGTCGGGGCCACTCTGTCTGGCCGGCCGCTGGTGTCAGTGGCAGATGGGGGCGGGAGAATACGATGGGCGGGCCAGCTAGGTCGGAAGGCAGCCAGCGCGCGGCGCAAAGCTGGCGAAGTGTGGCCCCGTGGCCGGAGCGGTTCGCCCGTACCTGCAAGCCGTGATGGAGCGATGCGGAGAGAGAAGAGGCCAGGGCCGGAGTGCAGGCTTCACAGTTTCGCGGGGCGGTGCGACGCGATTGGCTGCAGCCTGGCCAAGGGCTGCCGGCGGCGTGATCGACGCCCGCCCCCGACGGGAGCAAGCTCTGGCCTTTTGGCAACTTTCTGCGACCGCACGCCTCTTCTCGCCCGACACTGGCCCCGCTGACTGCAGTCGTCCACTAGCCCGCCGCCTGCTCGCTCAATTGCCTCGCCACGAGCCCTCTTCCCCAGATCGAGCCCGCTTCAGCTCCCGCCAGCTGCAGGCACAGCCTGACACCCTGCCCGAAGAGGCAGCAGCACCTCTTCAGCTCCACCTCCCAGCCCCAGCCCGACGTCGCTGCAGCTCGCGCCCGCGCATTCTTGGCCACGTTGGCCCGCTGTCACACACGCTGCTCCTTTCCCGACCCGCGTCCTCTCACGCGATCCCGCCGCAACAGCTCAGACATGGCCGCTCACACAGAAGAGCCGCAGAAGCAGGCGCCGCCGCCCGAAGCAACCCAGTCTTCCTTCCGCGACGCCTTCACCTCCCGCCGATCCCTCCGACAGTTCGGCTTGTTCTTCGCAGGCGCCACATTCTTCACTGGTGCCCAGCTGCTCACCCGACGCGCTCTCGCCCGCCGCTTCAAGCTGCCAAAGCCCCCGTTCTACCATCCCAGCACCGAGCCCTACCCGGCCAACGCGAATGGGGCCATGTACGCACTGGAAGCGTTTAATTTGGCCACCGTAAACGTCGTTAGCGCAGCCATCATGCTGACCGGTGGCGCCATGTGGGCTACCAACATTAGCACAGTGGAGGAGTTAAGAGCCAAGACCAGGCACAGGGTCGGCACTGGCGACGAAAAGAAGTCAAACGAAGAAATAGAGGAGTGGATTGCTGAGGTACTGGCCCGCAAGGACATGAAGGAGGCCGTAAAGTCTGCTACCGGCTTGAAGCTGGACGAATTCCTCGCCCAACATCAAGCCAAGGCCACTGAGAACGAGCAGACCAATTGAGGCTCCGCAAAGTAACGGAGTTCCGGTCCAGATCCCTTGCATAAAATTGATGTGTTGTCCACGAGACCAACGGTAACTTGCATTGTTGCGACCTCCGGACCCTGTCTGTCTCAGCGATATCCGATGAGGCTGGCAGCCAGCCGCTCGTGTGGACATCTTCGTCGCACGGCCATGACCTCATTCGAGCTTGCGCTCGGGATTCGAGTTCTACGATGAGTCGTGAATCAGCGGCGCTGAACTCTATGTAGTATTACCACGAGCGCAGGCGGCGTTTCTACGCCCAGCACCACGTGAAGCTGTTTCTAAAAATCAAACTGGCCGACTCCTGCACAAGTCAGGGAATCCAACGTATTAGCCTCGCTCAGCTCTCGGGCTGCAGAAGTCACTTCACATCCGATGACCTGCTCAAGTGGAGGAATCTGGCCAGGTGTAGGAAGAAGGCGTCGGAATCGACGGTCGAAGGCGTTCAGTTCCACAACGATGCTGTAGCCTCCCTGAAACGGCGCACACGGTGTAAGAATAGAAAATAAACTAAGGCACCACCAAGGCCGTGCCGCGTAGAGCAACATGATTTGTGTCTTCCGATGAGCCGCTGCGCTAACTAATGTAGGGCTCCTCCTCCTACTTCGATGATCCCTGGGGCCGCTCGGCCTAAAACTTGAACCAACAACATGCCGTGCCAGCGGACTCTGCCGCTAATCGTGTCCATTTCAGCCTTTTGCGCATCTATGACCGCGGTATATAGCGGCGGCGCTCAACCGGTCACGTCCCGCGTTGCCCAAACAGGTCACTGCTCTATCATCTTGGGTCCCTCATCCACCTCCACCATCCACTAAAATAACCCATCACTCCCGTTCATAGATCTCTTTACTCTGCATTCGGTCCCTCTTCTCCATCATTCCCCTAAATCCCGCATCTACTCATCCACCCCTCAAAAAGCTTTCAATAGTTATAACCTTCCAACTACCTTCCTCATTCGTAAGTCCTTTGCTACTCCCCACCTCCAGTATACTCCCTTACCTCACCTCGCCGCCCCGGCCATCTGCATCCTCCAATCCCCCATCACCATTACCATCACCATCACCCGCACCCGCACCGCCCGCCACCGCACCAATCCCCCCATCCTCATCCTCCCCCTTCCCGACCCCAACCCTCACCCCCATCTTCCCATCCCTATTCGCCCTCCACACGGCGCCCTCTTCCCCTTCCCCGACAAACTCCTCCAGCTTCCAGATCTCGGCGCGCTCCTTTGTCAGCTCGAGCGCCTCCTCGCCGCCGCGCCACGCCGCGGCGCGGTGCGGGCTCGACACGGCGACGAGCACGCTCTCCTCGCCGACGGGCACGGGGCCGAGGCGGTGGGCGACGGCGACGGCGGTGAGGGCGTGTTTGGCGCGGACCTCGCGGGCGAGGGCGACGAGGGTGGCGAGCGCGAGCGGGTGGTAGGATTGGTAGGTGAGGCGGAGGACGGGCTTGGAGGCGAAGGTGGAGCGGGTGGTGCCTGTTTTGTGGGGTTGGTTTGTTTTTATTGTTGGTTTTTTTTTGGGGTGGTTTTTAGAGGGGGGGTTTTGTTTGGATGGGCGTGTGTGTGTGTGTGTGTGTGTGTGTGTGTGCGTTTTCTCTGGTAGTGAGGGGTTACGTCATGGGGGTTGTGGATTGCTGGGGTAGGGGGAGAGTGGTGCCTGGGATATTGGTTTCGCTATGGCGGGTATGAGTTCCGAGGACACTCCCAGTTGGTTGTGGAGAGTTCCGCGAATGCTCTGAGTTGGTATGGGGACAGGACGAAGTGAAGATTGGACTGCGGTCTGTAGACAAGATTGCCACATGTGATGGACATCTGCTTCGCCGGGCAAGATGCCATACATGCCTGCCTCAGCTGTACTGTCCTCAGGCTGGGACTGGTACTGGCTCCGCGTGAGTGGGGCGTTGACTGGACTACCCCATCCAAACATCATGCCTCAGCTGTATGGCGTTCGCGCTGAAATGATACTGCACCGAGTGCAGTCTCAGGGCTCGAGTGCTGTTGCAGGGCAGGGGTGCAAGAGGACTGGCTGATGCTGAACGCTGACACGAAGCTGGACAGCATGAAGTTCAATCCACGCAGCAGAGACAGGAGGATCTTTGTTCGCCGTCGGACCATTGCTCAGAACTGCCGCTCTCGCCGAGGCATCATCCAACGACAGGAGGAGGCTCCGTCTGTCCCACGTCGGATTGCGCGATTTCCAGAGTTTGGATGGGAAAGTATGTGGCCCTCGTTTTGCGAGTTGTGATGGAGCACATAGCATGCCAGCGAAGGATCCAATATTACAGGTAGGAGACGGGGTGGACAAGGATCAGGGATTGTGGAGGCAATGGTGGAGATTGAATCATGATGGAGGAATGGGAGGGCGGCGAAGGGTGGGGAAATTTCTCAGAGTTGTGGCAACGGCAGGGAATTAACGGCGGCTTACCGGCAAACAGGACGACGGCACCGGCATCAGGGCTTTTGACGCGAGCCATGACGGAAGAGACATCCAGGTGGTCGTAGGTGAGTTGCACATACACGCCCTCGTCTTGGCGATGCATTGCGTCGGCGCTCGTTTCGGCCATGGCGTGGTGCGGCCTTGCTACCAGGTCAAAGGGCGGCGGGAGGGGGGGTTGAGACAGAGACGCGGCGGTGGGAAGGGTCCAAGACAGAGCGACCGATTCGGCGGATGAAGATATGCGGGTAAGCGTGTGTTGGAGCGAATGCCGTTCAACCACAGCGGGGCTCCTCTCTGGCTGGGTCTGTCGTGGGCTGTCGTGGGGCTCTCGGCCGGCGCCTCCCTCGGCGCTCGCCCGCTCTTGCCCGCTCTTGCCCGCTCTTGCCCGCTCTCTACCAGCCGCCAGCTCGCTCGCATCTCAGACACCTCACTCTTGTCGGACGTGGCGTCGTCAGGAATGCAATGCACCGCACCGCACCGCACCGCACCAAACCGCACCGCCGCTGCTGCGCCAGTCCAGGGTCCGCGGCCGCGGCCCCGGCCAGGAGACGGTTCCGCTCGTCGACTCGACGCCGCCCTCTCATTTCGCCGTTGTTGACAGCCAACGGCCCGCCGCCAACTTAGCACCGCCGTTGCTTTTTCCGCGCTCTTTTCTCCGGCAAACACCCCCCGGATCTGGTGCCGCGAAGCCGCGGTGCCGCGATGCCGCGCGGTGGAGTCGGCTGCAAAAAGCACAAACCCCCCGATCTCCCCAGAGTTCCAGATGGCGCCTCTCCCAAGGGCTGGATCGCGATCGCGCGGTGGGGCGATGCGCGGCCGTGGGCTCCGGCAAATGCGAGGGCAAACACCATGGTCGCGGCGGCCATCACATGGCGGCCAGAATGTGACTGAGCTGTGAGAAACCGCACACCTGATGAGACGACACGGCAGCAGGCGCGAATCCGGGTCGAGTCTCAGACCTTATGCGTCTGTCAGCCCTGAACGAGCCGTGACCTACCCGTCTGGGACTCGCCAGCCTGAAAAGAATGGGAGCGGCGGCGCGGTACTGCAGGGCGAGTGGCCGCGACGTCAGAGGCCCCGCGGTCCATGGCGCTGACAGAGCGAGCGTGTATGACACGTCTGTCGCACATGTGGTTCGTTCTCGTAGCCGTGGGCCGGGTCGGCTGTCTTCAGAGCCCGCAGCAGCATTGATGGCCACGGTCAACTGAGCAGCCCAGGTCCCGGCCAGGCGCGGCGCTTATGCTGGCTGCCGCCCCGCCCGCCTACGCGCCCGTCCGCCGTTGCAAGAAATAAAAAAGAAAAAGAAAAACGGCGGAAAAAGCAAGGCCGGCAAACGTAAACGGCCTCCCTACTTGGGCCGCCTCCCATTCGCCCTCCCTCGGCGCCGCCTGGCAACAGCAGCGCTCCATGGCGGGCTCCATGGCGGGCTCCATGGCGGGCACAGCCGCTCGATGTCTCGGGCCTCTCTTGTCTCATTCCTCATTGCTGTGCTACCACGTTTTCTCAATTGCTCGCGGAGCGCAGCTCGCTTCCCCCCATGCGGATCCTTGTGCCGCATCTCACCTGGATCTCACCTCTCGCTTGCCGGATGCACGATGCCTGCGTCCGCCCGGCACCACCGTTGACGATCCACCCAAATGACTGCCTTATGCTGCACGCAATCTCTGCCCGCCCAGATCTCCCGAAAATACCGCTGTGACGCATCACTTCCTGCGCCGCGCTTCTTGCCCACGCAAGGCACGCCCCAGCCAATGCCAGCGCCCCTTACTTCGATCGCCGCACGCCTCAAAGACAACGTTGAGTACACAGCGTCAGCTTTACGCGCGCCGCCCCATGCCCATTGGCCGCCGCCCGTGGCCATGCTGCTGAGCCAAAACAATGGCCAAACAACGTGTCCAGAATCGCTCGCTCGAGTCCGCGCCAGAATCCAGGGCGGAGGGTCACGTAATGCCCGACTATGCCCCCAGTCACCGAGCCACAAGCCCAAGCGAGCCCTTGGGTAAACAGACCGCTGCTGCTTTTTTCTCGGCCCCCTTGAGTCCGGAGAATGGGGCTTTTTCTCCCGCTCCATATATCATCCACCACCTGCTTTCCGACACATCAATACCGCTCCTCGGCCAGCCGCAACCCTTCCTGCCTGCACTCGGTCTCAGCCCCTCCCCAGGACACCATCCCCTGAACATGGCCGATGCCGACGTCTTCCGACACCCTTCGGCCCGCGGCTCCCCACGCAAGAGATCGTCGCAACCCGGATCCCGCTCCCATCCCGACTCGGCCGTCTCGGCCCACTCGACGCCTCCAGCATCGCCCGAAAGCACCGCCGAGTACTGGGATCGCTGTGTGGAGAAGATGGAGGAGAACCTCGAGAGGCGCCGCATGCGGCGCGCTGCTGCCATGAACTCCCCCGATGGAATGCCGCCCTCGCCCCGCCAGACCAATAGGATGGTCCTCGACATCATTTCAAGCTACAGCGACGACTCGACTCCCACCGCATCGCCCCGCGCCCCGCCCGCTTTCGATTTTGGTTTCCCTCACGAGCGGGAAAGAGCCGATTCCGCGCACGACATCGAGTCTATTGCAGAAGCCCTCCAGCTCTTCCCCAAACCCTTGGCTAGTGCGAAGAGCAGACACCATGCAACCTCCCTTTCCACTTCATCCATCAAAGCTCAAGGCCTTCGCAAGGAAGGCCAGACGCTAGCATCACCCGTCGTCCCCATGACACCCCCAACACCGCCTGCCACCGAGTCTTCGAAGAGGCATCGCAAATGCCCTACCCGGCCACCGCGCCCCGACGAGCCATTCATCGGCCTTCCCATTACCCCTTCCCCACATCCGTACCGCCTTGTGCGCAGGCCTGCCGCGCCACAGGAGCGCCGATCGGCCGCCCCTCCCAACATCAGGATAGCTCCACTGGAGCCCACGTCGCCGAGCAAGTCGACGTCGACTCTTCCCAACCTGGAGCCCATGCCTCCTCTGCAGTGCTTGGAGCTTACGCCGCCTACCACTCCGGTTCGCACCTCGTCATTTGCCCTGCAGCAGCAATTGATCTCTGTCTGGGAGGATGACGATGACGATGAAGATAAGATAGGACTGATGGAATACGTGCGGCGCACTCTGCAGGCCAGCAAGACTTCCTTCTCGGGGGAACGCGACCGAGAATCAAGAGAAAGGGAGCGGGAAAGAGAGAAGGGGAAGAGGAAGGAGAGCATGGACAGCGCGCACAGTGCTGAGAAGCGCCCCATGGACAGGCGCAGGAGGAGCACTGTCCGCCAGGCAGTAATTCGCGTTTTCCGCTGCGGTGACAGCAAAGAGGAGCACCCATGATACCCACGCCGCGCAGAGCCTAATCCTTGTACAGAACCATCTCCGCAGATGGCTAATGGCACTTTTGGGGCCCCCTCACTTTTTCCACAACTGGCACGGCATTGCTTTTTTGGGAGGATACTCATATGACTTCGTTGCACGCACTTTCCTCTCGGGCTTATGACATACATTCCCTACATTCAAGGGCATTTCGGTACATGCTAGAGGAGAAGAGGCTTCTCCCTCATTTCACGTTCTCACGGTCACTGGCGGGCATGGTGTTTCTGTTTGGCGGCAAAAAGGGTCCCCTCACGAACTTGACGGCCTTGCATTGGGATCATGTGGCGTTGTCGGCGGATCGAGTTCTTGTTTGCGGACTGGGTTCGCGCATGCACTGGACGAAAGTGCCCAAAAGTATTCTTCGGGCAACATAGACGCGTCTGTACAGGCTTTCGGGTCCTGGGATCTGCTTTTCTCTCGGTGTAGCATTATTACGAACGCCACGAATCAACTGATTGAACGATTACGAATCCTGGTTGCAACGCGTGATTCAACATGTACCCCGCTCCGTCGTCCCCTTGGACCCCAGCGTTGTTCCTTGCTGGCGCGTCCACGCAACCCCTCCTCTCTCCCAGCCTTGCACAGAAGCACATATCCCCTTCGTCATTCACAGCGATACCACCTACCCCTCCTCTCCGCGTTCCTTTTTCTGCCCCCTCACTCTCCTCTCCTCTCCTGACATTCCCTTCCTTATTCCACCCTCGCTCACTCCACGCCTTGCCTGCACACTGCCTCGGCGGCCCGTCCCGCCTCATACTCTCTCTCTCTCTCTCTCTCTCTCTCTCTCTCTCTCTCTCTCTCTCGCTCTCGTCCCCCTTACTTCCGCTCATGCAAGCGTCGCACAATACCACCCCGCGCCTTATGCTTCCGGCGCCAGCAGACTTGGTCGGGCTGATCATCCTCCTTACCTTTGCGAGGTGCTTGGTAGGGATACAAGGCCTCTGGGCAATATTTCCTTGTTCCTTTTTACCTTTTCTATTTCGGGCGTGGTAAGGCGGATCATCAGGTGAGTGGTCGGCCACTGCTGCATTGATGGGGGATGGGCTGACAAGCAAAAGTCTGGAGATTAGGAGCTGAGGGGTTTGGAAAAGCTACGCATGATCGAGTGGGTGAGAGGATGCATGTGCATGCGGAACAAAAGCGATCTCCGAGAGCTGGCATGGCATGTTTCAGCAACGACGCCGTGCAGCTGGACGCGCAAGAGAACGGGGACCTGGTCAGCTTTCCCGTGATTCTGCTAAGACATGGTCCAGCATCTGCCCAGCAATGCGGAAACGCCGACCTGAGCTGAGACAGGCCAGAGAAGCAGACGGCATAAATGATTAGGCGCCCAGCACTGTGCTGATTTGACGCGCACGCATGGATTTCTGGTTCCGCTTCCTTCACCCAGGTACCTGGTTCCTCTGTAGCGCCCGCCGGACGTATGTATGTATCGCGCGATATGCGATGGACTTGGCGCTGCCCGTCACCGCTTCCACCCGAGTCGCCATTGCTCAGCCCGTTCCGATTTATCAGGCTGATGATGGCGAATCCCCACAACATCAACACTTCGAAATAACCGCGCGCGCCCACGCCCTGTAAGTATACAAGGATACGCGCATGCAGTTTGCGCCACGCCAAATGGCAAGGCAATGCATGAGTGCATGCACGCATGCACGCATCCTGCTGCTTACCCGCCTCTCGCCCACCCACCCGCACAATGGATTTTTCTCGACTCTCTTTTTTTTTTGGGGGGATAAGCACCAGCATCCCACCCGCCGATACCACCCTGCAAACCCGTCTCGGCCTCCATTCCGACCAATAGACAGAAGCGGACATCGCTGCTTTAGAAGGCTTTCCCTTCCCGAGTCCCGCTCCCGCTCCCGCTGCCGCTCCCGTTGCCGCCCACCCACCCCTCTCACGTACATACATGGCACCTGCGCGGCTAAACGCTCGATTGGACGCCGCCTGCCTGCTCTTACCGCAACTTCCACCCCCCGACGGAGATCCAGTCAGAAGTCGCCTCCTCTCAGAGTTGAGCCACCGTTACACCGACCGACTGGATGGGCTCTCTGCTCAGCCACCTCCCAGTCTAGGAAACGTCATGCTCAAGTGCACACAGATCCTGAGGTTATGCGCATCACCGACCGCATTGGAACCGTCTCCCCCTCCTCCCCCGGGGGACGCGGCCATTTCTTTCCCCCCGAGTCTTGCAGCTCGTTGATTTCCGGGGCATGGATCAATGTACATTCAAGAGTGGCAAAAAGACAAAACCCGCTCGAGGATATTGTGCTTCCATTCATTGTGTCCTTCAGCTTGAGAGATAGATAGTCCCTCCTCGTCCCCCTCCCTCACCCTCCAAAGACGAGCCAAGCACGTAGGATAATAATTCCAGAGTCCCGCCCGTCTCCCCCGAGATATGTAGTCGACACGTCCATGCAAAAGAACAGAAAGAAACATCTCCCATCCGCCAAGGCACCCAATAGTACATACATACCGTACGACCACGGGAATTGCTGCTGCGGCGGATGGGGGAGGGTGGGGGGCATCGAGCATCGAGAAAAAGACCAGACGTCGCACAACACCGCGCGGGGGTCTGGACGGTTCTGTGGGAGGGCGGGAAGGGGGAAATGAGCGGGCGGGCGGGCGGGCGGGAGGTTGGGGGCCGCGTGGCGGTGAGAGAGCGGTGAATGAACGGGGGCGGGAAGTGGTGGGGAGGCGCAGGGAGGCGGGGAGGGGGAGGACGGGGACGGGGACGGGACGGAGGATTGTAGGTGGATGGTGCAGCAGCAGGGAAAGAGCGGCGTTGGCGTGGGCATTCCGGGGGAGGTTTTTTTTCTTCTTCTCTGGATTTCTTGATCTCTGCGTCGTTGGTGTAGAGACTCGTGCTGACAGCAGTTGTGTCATTTGAAATTCAACATGCTTTTTCCTCTCGGTGACGGACTTGGACGCCGATGCAGTGGGATCGGCTGGGATGGGCCAGGAGAAGACTGGGGAAGAACGGGATTGTGAGTGCCCGTCTCGCCACCCGCTGCTTGTGTTGCACGTTATTTTCTCGGGCCTGCAGAATGGACCGAAGTACGACAGAGCGGAGCGGAATCTGACGCACGGTGCACGGCAAGGCAAGTAGCAGTCGTACAGCGGAAAGCGAACGACGTCACGCTCTTCCTACGTGGGCAGCCGAAGCAAACATTCGAAAGCAGGCGATAATTCCAAAGCTGTACAGATGCATTCACAGACAGAAGATTCCAGTACCCCTCTTCAGTCGGATGTAAGTCCGTCAGATAGATGTGGATGAGCCCGATTCTTTTGCAGCCCGCTCTAGTGGCAGGACATGTCCTGAGAAGCAAGGAGCATATGCTGGGCGAGGATCTGCCGGAGACCCCGGGTGCAGGCCGCGGAGCGGAAGTGAGGGCGTTGAGGAGTGCAGATGATTGGTAGCGGAAGGAAAGAAATTTCTTTTTTCCCCTCGATTTACGCGCTCTGTACGCGCGCGCAAGCTGGGCCTCGCAATGATCTAGATATTCCCCAATCTCTTTGAAAATGGTCTCTCCATATCTATAGATTGAGAGCAGTCCAGAAGCATTCCAGCTATCCACAGCCATAATTGCAACCTAGAGATTATTCTCGCCACAGCACCGCTCTGGCGCCGCAGGACAGCCATCACTTCTGCTGCAAACCCCCAGCAAGCGCATGCACCTTTCTCAGTGTTTGCCTTCTTCATCCCTCACATCCCACGGTGCACGTCTCCCGCAGCCACGCGTCAACCACGCGCTATCGAACGTGTTCTTCACACCTTTAGCCTCGGCAGTGCCACCGATCATGTGTCTCTGCAGGTCTCACAGCCCCTCAGGACCTGCGGGAAAACCGTTGAGTCTGCTGTGCTCTTCTGCCGAGTCCTGGCAACACGGCAGCAGGCGGACAGCAGGAGGAATGATGGTCGAGCATGCCTTCTGCAGGAACAGAGAGCACGGCGGCTATGTAAGGCGAGAGCGCAAGCATGGCGTAGCGTGGAAGCCGAAAACAGTCGTACTTGAGCACAGCGTCTTCTCCCCTCAGAAGCATCATGATCTCGCTTTAGAAACTCTTCCGAGCTGGGACCCCTGTCTTGGAGAGTGGGGTACGTACAATTTCCGACGACGCTGGCGGCGGACCTTGGTAGTTCGTCATCCTGGGCCTGACTTGCGAGCCCCTCGACCGCTCCTAGCTGATATGTACCCTCCCGAGCATCTTGAGGACAGGCTGATCTATCTGGCTTCTCGGGGACAGCTGGTTTGGGATAAATATCTGGATTGACAAGGTGCCCACTATGTGCTTAGGCGCTTGTTCGATAACCACAAGAGTGGGGGTTTGAACAAGTATTGATATGTGATAACGTTTACCATATTGCCCTCTCTAAGATGCACAAGAATTATTCTTTTGTCCTTTGCCTTTTTATAATCACGCCCGGAAAATACCAGAAGGATTTTCTAAACATGTCAAAATGCTTACTACCATCCTGAGGGAGCTTAGACCTATATAGGAAGGTCAGCAGAGCCTAGACCTGACACCTTTTCTCGCTGATCACCTCACATACTATAGCACCTGACCAGTATCAAAGAAAGCAATTGCAATCCAATCAGTTCTCAATTTCAACCTTGTTTCCCACGAAGCAAGCCCACCATTCTTTCCCACCTCCCACATGCAATTTTTGGATCCCTTATAAACTAGCCTCCCACCGCCCCGCTCTTTAATCCAAAACTTAGAAATATCTATCATACAAGACACCCACCCATTGTGTACTAGGTATGAGAAACGTGTTCGGAGGTGCTCTGCGATCCTCTGAACGGAAAGTGAAAGACAGACTTGAGCATATGCAGTAGGTCAAGACGGAGACGAGGGAAAAAGGTTCATAATACACTCTTGGGCAAGGAACTAGCACCACTCGTTGTCCTTCCCCGCGTGGCCGTTTCTAGCTTGCTCTAAATCATGGACCGTAGCAAGAGAGCTCTTTTGTTGTGATGATGAGTGAAAAATTCAAGACTCCACCCCTGCATGTTTCCTTGAAGAACGCCTCGCTAAATCGAATAAGACAAAACAAGCAATGAAAGATGTGAAGAGCAATACAAAGACCGCAGAAAGCAAAAAGCAAAAAGCCAACTCTCTTACACGTCAAAAGTTACAGCTGCATGAACTCCTCGGCCGAGTTGAAGTCAGGCGGAGGACGCCTGAAAATGACCCTAGCCTTCGCATCGAGCGCCGTGTACTGGTTGGTAATCCAGATACCCCAGTCCTCGTCAGGGAGAGTGTCACTGAGTGCCGCCGTGTGCTTGATCTCGTCGTCCGAAATGCCGAACTCGTCGCGCGGAATCCAGATACATGGCTTCGTCATCCGCAGCGCTGCGTGTTCGAACGCCTTTCGCACGAGCACATCGCGCTCATCTGGCGTCAAATCCTCCAATTCATCGTGGTACCCCTCGAAGAGGTACCCGGCCGTTTGCGGCGTCTTGGCGATTTCCGGATCCGGCGGCGGCTGCTGGTGTTGGTGTATCGTGTTGCGGTGATGCCGGCTGTGGCGCTTGGGCCGACTATCCGTCGACGTAGTTGAGGCATTGGTGATGGCTGTGAAATTGCGCGACGTTGGCGGCCTTTGGTTTTCCAAGTCCTGAAGCTCGATGGCGCTGCTCTTCTCGCGCAATGAGGTGCTGCTGATCTCCCCAGGCTTCTCATGCTCCTCTTCTTCAAGCTCCTCCCACTTCTTTGCCAGCGCAGCCTCAAATGCCTCCTGCCGCTCCTGGGCCTCATCTTCCATGGTGATGGGTACGAATTTGAAAAGCGGCCCAAGCGATTTGTTTAGCATGTATTGATAGATGACCGTCAGGATCAACGTCACAATCATGACAATCGCATGCGGCGCGCAAACCACATTGCCTTTCTGGTCACGGACCAGGAAGAACAAGCCGATGAGGCACAGTTGCATGACATACAATCCCGTGAACATCTGATTCACGGCGCGGGGGAAGTAGAGACCGCCGCTGTCGACGCTCCAGCGGAGCACGTAGAACGAGTTGTAGCGGTAAACAACCCAGAAGAGGGCAGCCACGAAGGTTCCGAAAATGAGCATGAACGGAGTGATGATAGAGTAGATGATGACTACCCATGTGTTAGTGACTTGACATATACAACGGACAGGGCCGGGAGCTCACCAATGCAACAGAAGTTCGTATGTACAGGGAACAGAGTACCCCACATGGTATTGGGTAGTGTCTTCTGCCTGTTGAACTTGGCTCGAGCCGTGTCATCGAGAATCTTGCCCATGACGAACCACATGAAGAGCTGGGGCAGCTGAACCAGCTGCTGCGCGGAACCATAAAGGGCTTGCAGAAGGAGGTAAGAAAAGAAGTAGTTCGATCCTTTGGGGAGGTTCTCGGCTAGGATCTGCGGTACATCCAATGGCGAGTTTATAATCTGATCGATCGTGCTCGTGATGCCGGAACTGAGGGTGACGACAAGGAAGACCTGGACGAATAGGAAGATGAACCAGTAGCCTTGAGTCTCTAGCTCGGCTTCGACGCCTGTAGAAACGCCTGAGAAATCCACAAGGAGACGGATAATCATGGGAAGTACGAGAAGAAGGACTGCTTGGAGAGCCGGAGGCAGGGCACCCTGAGCAAGGGACTTTACCAACTTGGGGAGGTTGGCAACCCAGCGGAGCCAGTGGACAGCGTCAGCAATACTGTCCAATTGGGACAGCAAACCGACGAAGGCCATGGGGAAGGCCCAAAGAATGACAATGCCAATGACAATAGCAATGACGAGGGCCGTCTTCAAATACGCAGTCCACCACGGCGTGGAGAGGTTATCCCAGATGACATCCTTCGGATCGATTTCGAGGACGCGCGGACCCATGTTCTTTGGCCTGTGATGCGTGATAGACTGGCAAGCCATATGGGCCGCAACCTGGTGGTTGAACTGAATGAAGGCCGAATTCATGAGAGGAAATTTGTCCAGGTTCTTCTCGTCTTCTTCGATTTCCTTGTTCAACTCGATCAGCTGCAGCCGGCAGTAGACAATGACATCGACCTTAGCACCGAAAGAGAACCACCAGGTTGGCCAAATCTTCCACCACCAGTTGCAGCGAGGGAATAGGGATAACCTCATGGTCTCACGCTGTTTCGGTGTTAGGTACGTGGTCCATGCGCCGCTTGCGTTTTCCCTTTCGAGTTCGGCTCTATACTTGTCCCAGTCAATGATCGGAGGCTTCTTTGCGTATTTGTCCTTCTGCCGCTTCTCTTCCTCAGTCTCGGCGGCTTTGGTAATCTCGTCCATGTCTTTGGAGTGGCCGGCAGCGGGGTCGGGAGATTCCTCTCCGGTTGCGTCGAGCTGAGGTATAGAATGGTTGAGCGGGAATTCGTCAGATTCGCGGTGGAAGGGCTCAGGGCTGGGAAATGCGCTGTTTCTCCGGAACAGGCGCAGAGGGTTCATGTGGTGGAGTTCGCTGTCGTCCTTGTCTTTTTCTTCTTCAATCGGCGGTTCTGTGTTATTGCGCACGCGAGATCGAGAGACATCCGGAGAAGAATTCATGGCGCCATTTGTAAAAGGAGAGCCGTTCGAGGCGACGCGCTTTCCATCGGATCCCCTATGGAGATAGTCGCGGTTGGGACGAGGACTTCTACCGTGATGACTCTTCTCCGGCGCCGTTCCGTGCCGTTTGAGATGGTCTTTGGAAGGACCAAGATTCCCACCTTGAGTGGCGTTGTCTGCGAATTCCTCCTGGGAGCCATCAAACTCTGGGACGTATCCAACAGGATTGGCGGCACCGAAGCTCTTATCAATGCCATACCGAGCCCTTCCAAACCCCTTCACAACCCCTTCGGCGGTTCCCTGACCGAACTTCTCCATACCATGACCGACGGCGCCGAAGCCGCGACCAATACCATGTCCAACAGCGCCAAACCCACGGCCGACGGCCTGCAAACCCTGGCCAAAAGGAATTGGCAAGCGGCCTCGTTTTTCAGATTTGGTGGATTTGGAATCTTCGTGCGTGTCCATGGCTTGGTCAAGCTCCTCATCGATGTCGTGAGGAACGTTGGGGCTGTTGACAGTGATACCAGCATCGTTGGCCATGGCTTCTGCGGTACGTTGGTCGTGTGCGTCGTCGGCATCCCTCTGCTCTTGGGTCTTCTTGGTGCCCTTGACCTTCTCTTCCCTCTTGCGCATCTGCAGGGCTTTGCGCTTGCAGTTACGGATCAAGGCCGTCTCTGCACTTTCCAGCCTCCTGGCAATTTCCAACTGCTTGTTCTTCTTGTCCAGCAGATCGCCATAGTCGCGGTTGATCCAAATGTTGCGGATGCCGCCGGGAAAGGCGTCGAACAGGGCATCGAGGGCGTCGACATTGCACCACTTGTCGGGGATATTGCTGACTAGCACAGTCGTGGCCGAAGCGCGGATGCGGTGAGAGGGCGAGGTCATCCAGCGTTGACGTTCCTGAATGTAGTTGAGCAACTCGGTATAAAAGACGTAGCAAACCCAGACCAGGACGACGACAGCCATAACGAGATGTCCGGTGTAACGGCCGGTGTGAGTGGTGCTAAGATTGCCCCAACCGTACTCGTCGAGACCGCTGTTGCCGGGATTGTCGATGCCATAGACATTGAGGGGGATAACAACAGGCAGAACAACGACCATGAGTGGCAGGAATATCTTGATTTCCATGAAGAGGAGGCGCACGAAACAGTAGGCGTCGAGGCCACATTTCTCGACGAACGGCTTGCGCTTCGTTTCGAACACAGGCTTGATCCAGGCAAACCAGCCGTGAGGCGGAGGGTCGAAGCGCTGGCGTTCGGGCACAAGATAAGTGGTCGGAGCACTGCGATGGTGTTAGAGTGGGCGGCGAGGTGAGAAGGCCAGGCGGAATAGGGGACGCACTAGATGCGGCGGTACTTCTGACGCATGAGGTAGAATGTCCAGAAGAAGATGCCGAAGAAGACCATGCCCGTAGCCAGCGAGGCCATCAGCTGGTTGAAGGACATGCCCTCAGCCGCCGTGGCCTTGCCGGCATTCGGATCGGAACTGGTCAGATTATTGAGGAGCGACATGGCTGCGGGCGCTGCTATGCACTCGCGGGATGCATAGGTGAGAAGCGGACGAGGCGTGAGGTGGTGCGGAAGAGCGAGGGCGGCGAAGGGAGGGAAGAGTGTTGAGGGAGTGGCGCGGTGTACGCAGCCGGTACGAGCAGATGCGCAGCGGAGGGCGGGCTGGCTTAGTGGGCGGGCGGCGACTGCAAAGCAAGAGCCGTGCGCAGGACCAAACAAGAGTGGGCCCTTGGCTGGCTTGAGCCTTCGACGTCACCAATGAGCACAAGTGCGCCTGCCCCCAAGCCCTTCTGCCAATGTGCCAACTCAGCAGCTCCAACGGCGCGTGGCTGGGCCGGCCGACGTTGCGAGCCGCGAGCCGCGAGCGCTGCGACAACAAGCGCTCGGGGCGGGGCGAGGGCGGCCGTGGGCCAGTGGTTTCTGCGACAGGCCCGCCGGCGAAACACTGCCGCCAGCGCTGCGTGATCGTCGCATGGGGGAACACCAACTCTAATGACGGCCGCTCCACCGCCAGCTGCTGATCCACTATTGCGCTGCTGAACAGTGAACACACGCCCACAGCTGCTGGCGACGGCAAACCGCTATCCCCTTGGGCCCTCACCCCTCTCCTTACGTCGTGCAGGCGTGCAGGCGCACGCGAGATGTCGACTTGTCTTGCCGATCCGAATCGAGCTACCGCTGGCGCCACCACAGCGTCCTTCCGCACCACCCAACCGAGTACCCGACGTATTTGCTGCTTTTGCCGGCCCAACCGCACCAACAAGTCTTCTTTTGCACGCCGTCGCAGCCACCGGCCAGGTGAGAGCGCGGCTGGGCAGGGACGAGAGAAGGACGTGTCGGCGGATCTCGCAGCGCTCGCAAATCTGCATCTCCGATCGACTGGAACACCAATCCCTGCCGACACGCATTCGCCGCGCAGGATTCTTCGAGAAAGCCCACAAGCCCACCACACACGGCCACACGGCCGACGCACTGCGCCACCTCCACAGTCGATAGCGCCACACCTGGCCCCTCCTGCTCGCACGCCTCGGTGCTCGCCAACTGCTCTTCGCAAACAAAGCAGCCACCAGCCGCCGTCGCACTACACCACAAAGGCTGCCGTTTGCTTCTGTGGCCACGACAAGTCCATGTTCTGGTCCTCTACCTGACTCACTTGCCGTCTCACCCGCCAGGCCAGATCCTGGATCGCGGGCCGGGCCTACCGTCCTTTCATCCCGTCGCCCGCCCCACCATCCCTTTATTCGTCATGGTCAACGCAAAACATCCCGACTTCCGTTCCAGCGCCGCCACCCAACCGCTCCATACTGCGGGGATCGCGTGGAACATTCTGCCGCTTGCCAATCACCCCTTTTCAACCATACCTCTCGGCTCACCCGAGCCGAATCTGGCTTTGGCGAGATTGCGATGCACGTGATGACCTCGGGTCCCCGGGCAGAGAGTTTGCAACTACCTTTATTGGCAAAATCCGGGCTAAGCCATTAAAGATCATGCTGGGCTCGTTGGCGTCATTATCTACATGTCTGCACTCACCTCCTATCTTTGTACACATTACAGCGTCCTGTCGCCTCAGCTCCGCTTTGCTTCCAGCGAATTACCCCTCTTGACTTCCTCCTTCCACATCAGTCTCTCCTCTTCCACAACGCCAGGGCCTTTGTACACGCTCCCATACAGTCCGGATGCCCAGTCCTCGCCCTCGCCCTTCTTCGCAGCCTTCTTGCGGTACCATTTTCCGTACACAAGCAGGTAGTACAGCCTAAAGCACAGCAGCGCGAACCTATCCCTTTCCAAATCCTCAGGATACCTTGCGCCTAGGTCGACGGCGGCAGCAATGCCACTCATGATGGCGACCTCGTGGGCATTGAGCATGGTCCAAGACGAGGCGAAGCGGGTGCGGCGGCGTCCCTGCAGCAGCCACATCCACGGCACGACGAAGGCGTAGTGGGTCCACGAATGGCAGAGCTGATGCCACCAGTCCTTTCTGATAACCTTTGACTCGTCGATCTCGTCGTCGGTCCAGAGGTGCCCGTCGCGCTCCTTGTTCAAAAAGATGGTTTGGAAAACGTGGTCGTCGAAGTCGACGTCGGGCGGGAACTGGGCCTGGTAGTTGGTGCAGTCGAAGCACATCTCGAGCTTGGTCATGTCCTGCTGGTACGGCTTGATGTAGTACATGGGCTTGAAGCTCTTCTTCGCGCGCTCGCACCGCTCCGTCATGTCCACGCCGCCCAGGCTCGTCACCGCCTGCTCCGGGTTGAACCCGTTCTCGTAGTGCCGCCGCATGTAGTCGGCGTCAGAGTGCGTGATGGTGATGTCGTCGGAGAACTTCGCCGCCCCGAGCACGCGCCGCTCGCGCCACGAAGCCGTCTTACCGAGCAAGCGCTTGGAGGTGTCGGCCCTGGAAAAAGACACACAGTTAGCGCGCACAGACCCCATCTCAGCGATCGTTCCCAACGGGGAAATTTGGGCGGGACAGTGAGGCTCTCTCGATGATGACGTACAGACAACACAGCACCAGCTCATCGTACCGCTCTTCCGTCTCGGCCGCGCCGGCATCCGCGTCGCTCGTCGGATCCTCGGGCGCCCACGCGCTCGCCGGATTGTGCCCGTCCGGCGCCGGCGTGCGCTTGACCGTCCTGACCACCACCCCTTTCCCGTCCCGGCGCACCACCCGCGTCAGCTCCGTCGACAGCCTCACCTCGACCCCGCGCCCCACCAGGTCCCCGCGCCAGTCGTCGTAGAAGACGCCGAAGTTGGGGAACACGACCATGGGCGGCTCGTTGCTGGCGACGCTCTTGTCGTCGGGCGGGTACCACATGCCGTACGTGGGGCTGGTGCAGATGCGCTCGAGGATGATGGACGGCACGTCGGGCGTGTGGTTGCCGGTGCCCAGGAACAGCGCGATCATGGGCAGGGCGACGGCGTTGGCGAACTCGGCCGAGAAGCGGAACAGCTTCATCAGCAGCCGGATGGGCAGCAGCGCGAAGACGAGCTCCAGCGCGCGCACGACGCCCAGCATGCGCGCGAAGCGGCGCACCTCGGCCTGGTGCCGCGCGAGCAGCTTCGTAGGGTACGCGTTGGTCCAGAAGGTGTCGCCCTTGCCGAAGGAGACGTGCAGCTTGACCGGATTCGCGGCGTGGCCCTGCCGCGCGAACATGGTGAGGGTGTGGTGGAAGATGTACGACCCGCCCTGCACGCCTTGGTTCAGCCACGACGCGCCGTGCTTTTGCGCGTCGATGGGGATCGAGAAGGCCTGGCCGCCGCAGTATGACACGCTGTCGATGAGGGTGACGGCGAATTTGTCCGGGTGCTGTGAGAGGTGGTGCGCGCAAGACATGCCTGCAGCGAAGCTGTGTCAGTGTGGGTTACGACTGATGGTGGATGGTTGTGCGCAAGTACCGGCTGCTCCGGCTCCAACCACCAGCACCTTCTTCTTGCCCTCCTTAGTCGTCATGTTCGTCGTTGGCAGCAGTGGCGGCGATTCTCTGGAAGCAGGCATCGATGAGACAAGCAGTTCCCCGCCGTAGACCTCGCAGCCTATGGTGTCGCCTTCTCGTGCAACAGGGGGTTCAGAATAAACAAGGGATAATGGGCGGCGGAGGAGGGGGGCCACAAAGCATTTTCTGTTGTGTCGTGCCTTTGAGAAAAGCTGCGACAAGCTCTCCAGCCATTTTCCTTTGCGTCATGACTGCCATTGTCAAGCGCCAGAGGAAGGAGGGCGGTAGACGATAGTGGTCAAGAGTGGCTGCATGTGGTAAAGCGCCGATCTTCAGGATCGATCTCCTGTAACTAGGTAAGGCGTCAAAGATTGCCGACCGCCTAGATCCGGGGCTACCCATTGAAAGCTGGAACAGAGCGAATGTTCTGGGCACTGTTATGGGAATTGATCCGTAGATGCCTTGGTAGGGGGTCCGTTAGTATGCTTGTTGTACGAAATGCTGTTTGTGTAGCGTGGAATGCGCGACAAAGGTGATGACGTCAAGCTTCGCGCGGGTCCATTCCCCAGACTCACACGTCCTGTCTTGGCTGCTTCAACAGGAACAATATTTACAATTCCAATGGCCGACACCTATCTTCTATAGCTCATAGAAATTTGTGCAAAGACCGTTGTGAAGCAAAACAAATTACCTCTTGGCGCCATACTTTGAATACTGGACATTATTACGAACTAAATATCTATCATGAAGGTTTCGAGATCACTATGTAATATGGTAGCGAAGCATGTCGTCGGCGCTCAACTCCCTGCTAAGCTGTAGAAAAGCAAAGCCTACTGGGCGCAATGCTAGATACACTGCACCCACAGAAATCTGTAGCCGCAACGGATTTCTCGCCAAGCCAACTTTCCACGATTGGAGGTAGGGTCCGACATGCAGCCAATAAAGTGGGGTTGATACGTAGAATGCCCGTGCATAATGTAGACAACATGGCCCAACACTTTTTGCTACGCATTATGCCTGAGCTATATACCAAATTGATAGCTCTCCTACATCCAAAGCGTTATCCCTTGACATCCTCCCATATTAGCCATGACTGAGTATCGATCCAGGTCTCGCGCCCAGCCTGTACGCAACTCACCACGAAGCCCGCCCGCAGCCGGCCGTCCCGAAGCGATCGGAACCCTCCGACAACCGGCGAACCAGACAGACCCCTGCTTTTCCCACCAAGGGTCGACCACCAAAAATCCCACAAAGTGAGACGTTACATCTTTTTCTTTCTTTCTCTCTCTCAAACGTCAAGCTTCGAGTGATTACCGGGCTTGTAACCGAAACAGGAAGGTCTGCCCCCACCCCCAATCATCCATCCGAACTCCTCTCCGATCAGCCAGCCACACTCCACAGAAAAAGTCCGAATCTTCCGGCTCACTTCTCCGAAAAAGGATCGTTGTCCAGCGTCCCTGAAACGCGTAATGAGCCCTACAAAATGTGGGCCCCCCGTCGTCGTCGTCCGCTCCGACGTTGCCTGGAAGGGAAGTAGCTCGAGAACGATGCTAGCCTGCTCTGTGTTTCCTCCTGCTGCTGCTGACATGTGAAAGACGTGCATGATGAGTGTTGAATCACCTCACGGTTTTGTATGATTTTATGGATCGCGAATGGTGTCGTGTTTAGACGTCATGTTTTTCCCGCTTCCATGCTACCTGTATCCTCTATGTAGATGCTACTCGAGGTATCCCTTTTCTTTCGATCTCAAAGCAAAAACAGAGCCGCCCAATGAGCCACCCACCCCCCCTTCATTATGAATTTTTCGTAACAAAGCATTTGACAAAAGAAATGTCTTATCTCCAAAGTAGATAGAGAGGGGAAAGAAAGAAAAGGCTGCCCCTGTCATCATCGGGTGCTTTTTCAAACAGCATGATAACACGTCGCACTCACTACGATGCCTGGGGGGTTCCCAACGTTCGCTCTCCCTCTCCCAGCACCGTAATACCCCTCCGTCATCGTACCCACACTCTCTCCCTTCCCTTCCCTCTCCAAGCTTTCCACTTCATCCAGCCTCACCCACTCGTCCCCCGCCTTACTCACTTTCTGCACGATGCTCGTGCTCGTATCGATCGCCCCGCTCCTGCTGCTCCCCATCCCGTTCCCGAAATAACTGCCGCCGCCGGTGCCACCGTACTTCCCGCTACGAGTCGAACCGCGCTCGCGCAGGCGTGGGAAGCACTTGTACAGCAGCGCGCGCACGGCGGGGAGGCAGGCGCATAGGATGCCGGCGTGGACCTCTATGGTGGACCAGTAGCCGATGGGGACGTAATCCCATGTGACGTTCATGCTGTTGGCGAACTGGATCATCCACTTGAGGCGCAGCATGGAGACGACGGTGACGAACAGGCCGACGGAGAACATGCACATGACGTGCAGCTTGCGGCGCGCGCTGAGCACGAGCTTGAGCACCTGCGGCAGCGGCAGCGTCATGACGACGAGGTCGAGCGCGATGTTGGCCGCCGCCGACGACCAGCCGAGCGCGTTGAGGTTGATGCATGTGCCGTGGCTCTCGCCGTCCCAGTGCTTCCACGCTTGGTTGACCGGGTTGCATTGCAGCGAAACGGCCGTAACGAAGGTGATGGCGTAGGAGGCGCAGAGGAAGATGACTATGTAGACGTAGATGCGGAAGCGGCGGTCCGGGAAGATGCGCAGGTAGAAGCAGCAGATGCTGATCTTGACAAGGGAGAGGGAGGCGATGTAGAGAGATTCGTCGAAGTAATAGATCTGCGGAGTTCGTGCGGTTAGTTAGGCTGTGGCTAGAGACAAAGGGATGAGTGGTGGCGGACATAGAGTATGTGGGTAATGTCCTTGGGCGTAACGGTCCACATGTCTTTGCCCAATCCTGCGTCGGCGACTGGATTATGGCGGTTAGCACATTGCTGACAGGCCTACAGATCTGATATTGACTCACGGACAACCGAAAGGGCTGAGAGTGGTATCATAACCGGCTGGGTTCAGACAACATTAGCACAGCCTCTTCACATTCACAACCAACAGTGAACTCACCAGCGTCAGTAGCATCACCGTATCATCCCACCCAAAGTCTCCGCCGAGCGCGGGAAGTCGCGCTAGAAGCCGCATGAAGATGGCGATTAGAGCAATAATGGCTCCACCGACGCCGATATACGAGACATGCTTCGTCCTATCACGATGCTCTGCTCCGCAGGAAGTCAGAGTGACGTTCTTGGTGAACAGCGCCTGCTTGACAGAGCACTCGGCCAAGGAGCAGGCCTCGACATATGTCTTCAGTGCTGCGTCGGTACAGATGCATGTGACGTTTGTTGCAGAGCATTCGGATTGCTGGATGCCGTACATCAGGCATGTTTTCTAGGAATCGTGGTTAGCCGCCTACTTTCGGTGGACATGAGTAGTAAACAGGCCACTTGCATACATACCCCGCACGCTGGAAGCGCTTCCAAGACTGACTCGAGAGGGTTGGATTGCGCCAGCGCGAGCAGCGGGCTCAGCACGAGCACCAGCAGCCAGAGAAACTGCATGACTTAGCGGTTGGCAAGGAAAATGAATACGGAGGGACAGGTGGGCCAGTAGGAGGACGAAGAGAAGGTCTAGGTGGGAGGGCAGATCAGATGTTATCCAGAGAGAGCAGATCCATCCCGTAGCTTGACGATCCCGCGACTGTGGCATTCGGCGCGGGACGGGCAGATACGGGCGTATGTAAGAGGCAGGGGAGGAGGTCGCGTAGGGGCGGGGACTGGAGGCCGGAACAGCCAAAAGGCATCGTGATGGGCATCCGGAGCATATCTGTGGCAGATCGGCCAGACGACGTGCATTGGCTTGGGCCAGACCTTTACCCGGTACCACGCTGACGGATGGAAGGCTGCAGCGCGGCCATGTGCTGCTGCATAGGGGCAAGATTTACGCAAGAGAAATTCTCACCCAGAGCGGTGGCACCAACGCGGAGGGCAAGTGGGCTGAAGGAAGCCGGCGGACGGACGAGTGGACAGAGAGAGCCAGGCGTGTGGCGCCGACAGGAACGGCAGCTCCACAGAACAGCTGAATGTAACGGCGCATCCCCCAGGAAAGCGTGGTGGTGGCCGGCGCCGGAAGGGGCTCGAGCTTGTGACGAAGCAGGAATCCGGCTCAAACGGGAAGTGGCGGGTCGGTGGATGGGGGCTAGACGGCGGTGCCCAGCAAATCATCCGCAATTGCGCAAGGGCGCGGGCTAAGGGGCGGGAGAGGCGCGCTCCTTGGTGCCCGCTGAAACGAGCGGCTTCGGCGAGCGTGCGATGGCAGCGGGCGGTGGCAGCGGGCGGGTGCAACGGCGCATCGTGGGCGGATGCGGTGGTGTTTCAGGACTCGCACCGCTTCTGTGAGTGCAGGCACAGTCTCGGGCGATGCGGGTGCCTGGGCGAACCGGCATGCTGGGTGAGAGAGGGCGGATGGCGTGCTGACACTGTTTGGGCGTGCGAGGTCGCGAGACAGCTGGGCGGTGCCGTTGCCGATCGCAGTTGACGTTTTGGGCTCGGCTGGCGTCGGGGCGCGCGGCTTGCACATCCCGAAGCGGCACAGTGTCCTGCTCTCTCCCCACTACCACTTCCCCCCTGCGGCGTAATGCTTTTTTCACTGTTCGCCTACGCGAGATGAGCCTCCAATCCATGTCGAGCCGATGGTGGCGCCGCCGTTGTCGGCTGCCTGTGCCGGGTTCGCCGCCTTCCCAAGTTTCACCTGTCGGCAATTCCCAGCCTTCACTTGCGCCTGCAGCGTCGGTCTGATCTACGCATGCGATTTGAAATACACGAGGGCATGCCCCATGGTGTAGCCAAAGATACAGTCCAGCGTTCTGGGCAGCATTGTGCCAAAATATTTCCATCCCCCCTGCCCCTGCCTGCGGGGACCACCGAAAAAAACAGCCAGAACTGTGGGACCGTCAGAGAAAAGCTGAGCAAGTAATTCATACTTCTAGCTGCTTGCAGGAACCAATAAGCCGTCTCAGCTATGGCCATAGCTAAACGTCATCAATCTCTTACTGGGAAAAAGCAGACCACGTGAGGGAATTCCCCAACCCTGTCATGGCGGTGATTGAAATGAGATAAAGTGCCCCAGTCCGCTTGTATAGATAGTATGCATGCTTCGTCTTCGTTCACACCGAAAACCTCGAGTTCACTATTCTATACACCATCGCCGAACTCGTAGTGGTTCGTCCATCTCTTGTCGTAAGCACCGGATGCATCCACAAACCGCAAATCAGTACCGAGCCTGATCCTGTTGTGCGGGTCGTGGTTGATGGTCGAGGCGTGGATCATGTGGGGCTTGTGCAGAACCACATCGCCAGCCTCGTAGTCTGTCAGCAGCCATCTCCTCTTGTAGTCCCGACCAAACTGGGCGGGACCATCGGCCAGGAGACCGGTTCCCATCATGTTTTGGTTGAAGGCATTTCTGGTTTCTTCGTCGCTGAAGCCTGCCGCCTTGGCCTTTTCGGTGAAGTCCTGCTCAATCTCCTGGCCCAGGTTATCGCCTATGTCTGGTCAGCGGCAGCTCGGCATTGTGTGCGTGGCTATGAGTCTTACTGTTCTCCAGGTAGATGAGACCCCCTCCCCGGATATCGATGTCGCCGATGGGCACCCACGCGGTGAACGAGTTGGGTTGACCGTAGCGGAGGAAGATCTGGTCGTAGTGGACGCCGATGGCGTGGTTTCCCGGAGTGTTGTTTCTGAGCAGCGTCCGGCGCAGGCCCAAAGTGTTCTCATCCCAACCAGACATCTTACTAACGAAGTTCCACAGAATAGGGTGTTTGACAAAATCCTCGCAGTCTGCAAAAGTCAAGTGAGCTGCGGGCACACAGCTGGAAGTCCTGGGGCTACTTACACCACTCCTCGTAGTGTGCCTTCAGGGCTAGATCGACGAAGGCGGCGGCAGTGTCTTCTCCAGGACGTCCATTGCCGCCCGCTGCGCCTGCTCCAATGCCGGGATAGTCGGCCTTGTTCTTGGTGTCGTCGAAGATGCCCTCGACGGGCTTGGTGCCGGGCTTCAGAACGCCGCTGGGAGCCATCATGGCAAAGTACTTCTCGCGGCACTTGAGCACGTCGTCGCGTGGTAGAAGCCCCTTGAGGAAAAGGTAGCCGTTCTCGTCGTACCTCTTGCGCAGGTCGTCAATGGGCTCGTCTGGGCTCGACGGCTTCAGTGGCGCAATTCCTGCAGGGTCCAGCTGGCCATCATTCACATAGAATTTGTAGCCAGGCCAGCTGGCGTCGAGTTCCGGCGATGCTGCGTGAGGCATTGTGGAGGAATGCGGGGTATGGTCGCGTGGAAGGGAAGTCAAAGGTAGGCAAACGTGGGCGATGTATGTATCATGGTCTGGCACCATGAAGGCTGACTTATATACAGATTAATAGCCGTCCTTTTGTGCACCTGTCGACACACGTGGCAACAGTGGTCGGAGCCTTTTACTGCATTCGCGCCCTTATCGTCCAATAGCGGCGCTCGTGAACCCAATTAGAAGGGCCGTAACTCCACGCCGGGCGGAGTTCGTGCCTCTGGCCGCCCCGCAAAAGGCTCCCCGCATTTCGGACGTCAATCTGCGGGCTGAGATGCCGAAAGCAGGATCAAAACAGCAAGTATCCCCTGCCCCAGCTAAACACCCAAATCTCGCACTCCCACCTCCCTCGACCCCCGTTTCAGGCGATTATGTCGTGGTGAGTGCCAGCCCCTTCTTCCGCAGTGGAGCAGCCCGGCTGATGGACGAGTACCCGTGCAGCACATACTGCCGTGCTCGACATTACAAGTGTTTGCAGCAGCCGTGTCTCCCCGCGCTGGCGTCGCGCTGCTGACGACATGGCGCAGGCGATGAACACCTACCAAAATGCAGGAAATGCGAGCGCGCCGGCCGCCGCTGCGTCCGCGAGCCCCCGCGCAGGTTTCGGCACTTCAATGCCCCGACCCAGTCCGGCCAGAAGCAGATCTGGCTGCCCATTCCCCCCCAAGGTTCAGCTGTCCCGCATCCGTCGCCTGCACCCTCTGACCTGTGGCAGTTGACTTCATCGACGAGACGGCCGACGTGGTCGATGGCGGCGACGCCGGCAGCAGCCAGGAAGAGCCCGAAGAGAGCGACCAGCTACCGCAGCAGGCGCTTTGTTTCCTCGCCCCACAGCAGTCAGTCCCTGAAGACATACGGATCCCCGATGCCAGCATCCTGGACATTGAATCTGATCCTCCCGCCAATACGCCGTCGGTGTTGGACCAGAACTATTCCTCTCCCTCAGTCGCATCTCCTTCCAGCAACCACCGTCTCGACAGCGTAACATCCTTCGCAGCACTACGAGAGTTGAACGGCTCACACCACCACGCCGTACCCCAACCGTCCATCTCAATCCCACCGTCCCCCGCCCAATCGCTGTTGAAGGACCAATGGCCGCTTCAATCCGAGCAGGAAGCCATGCTCCTCCGCTTCTACCTCGAGCACATCTCATCCTTCGTACGCCGACCCGCCCCCCCC